AAGAGGTGGTAGTGGCTGACGAGGCGGGGACGGGACGGTGCATGTGAACGACTTCGAGGACTGGAGACGAGGTTTAAAGGAGTTGAACAAAAGTCCGATTCCACTAGAGGTAAGTAGTTGTTGAGGACCACGGCCGGAGGGGAGGGGAGAGACCGTGACCGAGGACTGTCTCTTTACGTGTGAGGGTCGAGTTGGGAGAGTTATGGGTTACGAGAGAGAGGGAGGAGAGAGGGGTCACCTACAAGGTGACCAGAGCTTCGACCACTGGTTACGATTCCGGAGGTGGACGGGGAACTGGGGAGTACGGGTGCACGACCAGTTCCGGACCGAAAGGGTGGGAGACGGGGTAGTATTTGTCTGTAGTAGTTGAGGAGAGACAGTAGACCTTATCAAGAGAGGACGAAGTTTTGGCGGAGGGTAGTGAGGTAGGAGTTCTTCGGACCAGACACTGGGACTCCTCTCGACTTTGTTGATGGTCTGCTTCAAGGCTAGAGGTTTGGAAGGAAAGGAATCATTTTGGAACCCTTTCTCGTCAGCAGCGGGTCGAAGTAGTTGTAGACAGGTTGGTACTCGAGATGCTTGGGGATGTCAGGTCGGATGTCTACGTAGTAGTGTCGTGTCTCTTGGCGGGAGGAGTTCTAGTGATTACTTGGAGTAAGAGCGACGACTGAAGGCCTGTTTAAGTCATAAGAGTAGGAGGAGACCTGGGAGAGACGCCGGAAACTGTGGCAAAGAGTATGTCAGGAGGACTTACCGGAGAGGCTGTTTGGAACCGTAGTGACCATTGTGTCGAGACAGTACCAAGAGTCAGGATAGAGAAGTTGGTGTCCAGAGTCAAACAGTCGTAGTCGCCGAGTAGGAGGCGGGGCCGGGTCAGTTGTGGGTGTACCACAGGGGGTTCCGAGGCACGAACCAAGGGATGAAAAGTGGTAAATGTAGAGGGGGAACGGTCTAGTATGCAGTGAGAGCCAGAGTTAAAGGTAGTGACGATCGCGAGCTACTGCGAGTCGAAGATAGAGTCGTGGAGGGTAGAAGGGTCCGAGGAGGTGTCAGAGACACAGTTAACAGAGGTACGGTATTTTTTGGACCTACTAGTCCCGTTTAGATGAGTTTGAGTTGTCATTCTTCTGAACTCGAGTACCAACACCACGGGGTTCCGTGACGAGGCCTTCCAACCCCTAGAGGGAGGAGGGTCGTAACTGCCGGCAAAGGTAGAGGGGGCAGAGGGCTTTCAGGCATTGGACCCACAGTTAGGGACTAAGTTGAGAGGAGTAAAGTCAGGTGTATAGTTTTAGGCAGTGGATCAGACCGGAAGATAGTGGAGTCCTTGTAGAGGGCAGATGTCTGGTAGAGTGAGAGGCTAAGCGCACCGGCTCTGGAAGTAGGTACCGTAAGGCAGAGGAGGGCCAACCTGATGACCGTTGCCTCAGGACAAGCCCCAAGGGTTCATTTCGGGAGCCTGTCCGAGGAGGTCATACACGTCTTGAGCCGACGGTCCCACGAGTGAGTGCGGTTCGGGACCGTCGTGTAGTGGGGGGTGGGAGTAGGTGGAGGTGACCGAGGGTCAGTTCGTGGCATAGTGCATATTGAGGAAGAAGACTGGATGTTTATGGAGGTACGGTGAGCCGGGAGGAGTTATGGACAGACTAGGGAGAGGCGGTGGTGTTCGAGGTAGGGCCTTCGTGCTAGCAGACCTGTCCTAGAGAGAGGATGGGGGCGGCGTGGTCCAACGCCTGAAAGCCACTGTCTCGAAAGTCACATGCCGTAGGCGGTGCTGAGACCTTTGAGAGACAGCGGGGGGCTTTAGGCGTCGCGGGGTTGGAACCTGTGGAAAGATTTTTTTTCGGGAGTTTTGCCGTGGAAAAAGTTGGTTCCGAAAGGGGTGATATATCAATAAAACTATCCAAAATAAGAAGGCGATCGAACGGCGGGGGGGGGATTGGACAGACCGGAGAAAAGGGGATGAGTTTGTGGGGAGATGGGCTGAACATTTCGCTGCAAACCAAAGCACTTTCCGCCGATATATCGTTATAGTACATAAATAATAATAATAATAATGAATATAACTTAGCACTGGACAAACCAAGATATATCCGCGATAGTGTTGCAAGCGAACAGAGTCATTTTTAAAAGCAACAACAAAGGAAAAATTAATGACTTCTAGACTCTATATCTTAATCGTTACTCTGAACATGGGAAAAGTCAGGACATCGTCTACATTTCTGAAACTTAGCGTTTTAAGGATACAGACTAACCGACCGACTTATGTTTTGTACGCATGTAACTTTGTCAAACGAC